CCTCCGCCCCCCTCCCCTCCTCTCGTCTTCCCTCCCCTCCTCTCTCTCCTCCAGCCTGTGTCCTGTCCAATGTCGCTGTGCGGGAACCCTTGTTCTCTTTGCAGGTCTGCAAATCACCGCCCACTGGTCCAGATCCCTCCCTCCCATCTCTTTTCCCCGCCTTCCCTCTGTCTAGCAGCGTCAAGCACAGTGATCCCCACAGAGAAGTAACCCTTAGGTGCCAAGGCATCTCTGTGGAGACAGGGCAGCGTTCAGAGCTCTGGTGGCGATGAGGTCCTCAAGTGTCCTGAGGTCTGCGACTACCTGTTTTCTCCTCGGTGAGTGTCCCACTGGGCAGGGGCACTGCTAAGACATAATCACTGGGACTCGCGAGCTAACTCACTCACCTGCCTCTGGTCTAACTTTGGGCACGTAGTGCAGGATGCAGATGATAATGACAGGGTGGGAATCCTCCTTCCAGTTTCTCCCGGGATCACAACACTTCTCATGGTTCCCCTTGTAAATCCTCATGGGTAACAGGCTGACAGAGGCATTTGAGGCACTGGCCCCTCAAAAGCTTCCTGCCACTTCCCCCGTCCATCTGTGCAGATGCTGACCCTGCAGACTCTGGGGAGTAGTTACATTTGTCATTTGCATGGAGACAGAGAGTTTCATCCCTTATGTATTTTCCATTTAACAGCTCTGCCATTTTTCCCCTCCCCTAAATGAACTGTATTTTCCCTCTCTGGCATCCCCCATCTTCTCCCATTTACCCTGTGCCCTGCTTTCATCCAGCAAAAAAATAGCTAAAATCAGCTGTCCAGGATCATGGGCCATTTGCATATGAGCTGGGACATGCACAGCCTCACATACAAACCAACAACTGCCAGGAAAAGCCCAAACAACCCTGGAAAATAGTCTGCAATATAGCATCAGTCTAGAGCTGGAGCCACACTCAGCTCTGCTGGGAACTGACACTGCAGACCCCAACTCTGACCACCTTTCAGGGATACCCTTCCACAGCACAATCCCTTAGGGGTATCTGGGTCCAGGCAGACTCTGTCCTTCGTTCCTCCTCTGCATTTCACAAGGAAGAACAGATACATAGAGCTTTCATCTTACCTGGCTCTCTCTGGCTGAGGGCTGCAATGGAGCCATCAGCTCTACCTTGATTCTTTGTGGATAGGAGAAGTGTAGCTTCAAGCCAGGTCGGGGTCCCCTTGACAAGTTCCTTTTATCACCTCAGTCCCCTCCCAGCCTTGAAACTTTGTGTTTGGAGCAACAGGGGTGGTGGAAGGGGAGAAGGTGGAGAGTAATGGACAAAGGAGTGGGGGAGACTACAGCAGGTAGTGTCCAAATGGGCAACTGCAGCTGCCTTATCTTTCTCCCGCAGTTGCTGCACAGAACCAGCTCCTTCCCATCTCAGCTCTCCAGGTGCTCGTATCAGTCAAGCAGTCCGTCTCATTCATCTGCAACTTCACCACCTCGGACAGAAATCCCTCCTTCTCCTGGTACCACCTTGCTGGGAGCAGGGAACCCAAGTACCTCCTGGGCACTGCCCTGTTCACTGAAAGCGGTGTCCGCTTCACCCAGGGGAAATTCACCACCTGGGCAGACATTGACCGAGGGGATGTGATTTACAGGGCAAATCTCACCTTGCAAAAGGAGGACACAGCCTTGGCTGACAGTGGAATATATCACTGTGCATTTAGATACACAGTGGTGAAGGGATGTTTCTCCCCCTTGCATAAACTACCCACCAGGAGAGTGCAGCAAGAGAAAGGCACTATTGCTTTGCTCACAGCCCTGGCTCCTGGTGTCAGGCCTGCTCCTCGACACATCTCTGCCCACTGTCAGCCTCCTAAGCCTGTCTCCTTCTGTCTCTGCCAGGCAGAGGGACACCAGCAGCTCCATTTCCACTTGTGCAAAATCTGTATCACAAAGCAGAGCAGAGGAAGGGAGAGGCTGTTCTTCTTCCACCTTTGGTATTGCTTTCACCCTTGACATGTTCCTTTCCTTCCAATGTGAACCGTTCTAACATTTTCTCACATCCTGGAACCTCCCTATATTTCCCCAAGATTCCATGCATGCAGAGAGGTTCAGACAAGAGATCTAGATGGGCATGACCACAGGGCTGGCTGCAGATAAGATGAGACCCTCACAGCTTTCCCTAGTTCCTTACACAGAAACCAGTGGTTCTCAAGGAAATCCACAACATTTCTGAACTTAGAACTTGTCAGATGCGGGGGTGGGTTATCCCCTGGCTGCATCATCACTTCATAGCAGGGGCTGCTCTGAGCTCTATTGGCAACTGGAGCTGCAGACACCAGTGCTGCTGCACAACAGTAGCCAGCAGCCCAGAGGCAGTGCTGGGCCTGGTTAAGTCCCCTTCTCAGCATCAGGGGCTAGCAAGCGATAAACAGCCTTGCAAGCCATGAGGCAAGACAGTTCTGCATGGGCATCTTCTAACCCTGAGATGTAGGGGACAGAAAGAAATAGTGATGATAATGGGGGCCTCTGGGGCTGCTTGGTGGTAGCACTGTGGACCCAAAGACTATTCAGTCTCTTCAGTCCTTAGCTCAGGCAAGACCCAGGTGGCCCTGTTTTCCCCACAGTCCGGAGGACTTGCTCCTGCCTGGTCTTGCCTTCTGTGTCCAAGCTGTGTCAAGGCAGCCTCAGGCAGCTTCTCTCAGCTGCTGTCAGGGAAGGGGGCTTTTCCCTCACCAGCCCCCTTGCACCCCTCTCCTTCCTTCTACAGGGCAGCCCAGGATCAGACAAGGGCTCATCTACTCCCCACAGCCCTCCTGCTCTCACTGAGGGGCAGGACATAGTTTGGGTCCCAGAGCAGGGGCTCTTAGGCAACAGTGCTAAGAGCACAGGGATTTCCCTGCTGACACTTGGGCAGCAAAATCTTAGCCCCTTTCAGCACCATGATCCCCAACTGCTGAGGGAGCTGGTAATGTAGTTGCAAGGCCACATGCAATCATCTTAGAAAGGTCATGGCAATCAGGAGAGATGCCTGAAGACAGGAAGAACGCAAATGTCACTCCAATCCTCAAAAACATCAAGAAGAAGGATCCAAGGAACTGCAGGCCAGTCACCCTAACCTCAATCACTGGGAAGGAGGGACCAGCTCATCCTGGAGGCCATCTCTAAGCATGTGAAGGGTAAGAAGGTAGCCAGGAGGTGTCAGCACGGATTCACAAAGGGGAAATCAAGCTTAAGCAACCTGGTAGCTTTCTATGATGGAATGACTGTCTGGGTAGATGAAGGGAGCGCAATGGATATTGTCTCCCTTGACTTCTGCAAGACTTTTGTCTCCTGTAACATCCTCATAGGCAAGATGAGAAGTACAGACTGGATGAGTGGACAGTGGGATGGATAGAAAACTGGATGAATGGCAGAGTTCAGAGGACTGTGATCAGAGGCACAAAGTATAGTTGGAGGCCTGTAGTCAATACCAAGTCTTGGAGGCCTGTAGTCAATACCAAGTCCAATCCTGTTCAGCTTATTAATTTGTGACCTGGATCAAGGGACAAGTTTGCCGATGATCCAAAAATGGCAGCAGTGGCTGATACACCAGAGAGCTGTGCTGGCATTCTGAGTAGTATCAACAAGCTGGAGAGATGGGCAGAAGGAAAACTCTGAGGGTGACAGATCATTGGAACAGGTTGCCCAGAGAGGCTGTGGACTTGGGACCAGGATAGGCTGGGTCTGCTTTATCAGCAGTCCCTGGAGCATTGCAAAGAAATAGGAGACAGTGGTGAAGCGAGCCACAGCCTCTCAAGAGAACTGAGCAATCTTCATCCCTGTGCACCTTGTACTGCCGTGACTCTGCCCACTAATCCAGCACTTTTCCTATGGAGACAGGAAACCTAGCTGTGACCTGACATAGCCCTCCTGCCAAGGGCCCTTCACCTTCTGCAAGTGCTCCTACACCACTGAAAAAGGGCATAAAGAATTCCAGAGATCAATTTCCTTCCACAGCAACAAGACATGTAGGGACACTGGGAGACAAATCCACCTCCACCAGAATCAGCCTGGGAGCCCGGCCTGTTGGGCCACGCGTGGCTGGTGTGTCTGGGATGGCCCAGCTCATCCTGCACAGAGTGGGAAGCCCAGCCAGAAAGAGCTGCTGGCCACCCCAACCCTGCCCACCACCCCAGCCTGGTACAGACATGTAGGGGAGCAACACAACTGGTTCTGCCTTCTGCAGAGGGCAAAACAGAGCCCCACAGCATGGCCCCTTCCAGATTACCTCTGTCACCACACGGAAGTCAGGGTGAAATCCTGATGGGCCAGAGCACTGAGCAAATGGCTCTGGCAAAGTGCAGCAGGAAGGCGACTACAGGCTCCATTCAGAAGGAAAGTCATTTCTTTGTTGTGGCCGTGTGTTCATGGAGGGCTGCTGGCCCAGGTGAGGCTGATGAAGGCCATAGTAGATCTGAGAGCACTTGGGAGCTCCAGGAACTTTCCCTGCTGAGGGTCATCCATCAGTTACTAAAACATACTTTGGTACCTGCATGCACATGGGTGCATGCACTTTTACAAAGCATAATACTTCTTATTATCTGATGCAAAGCCACTATGGTCAGGTGAGTCTCCCTCCCAAGGATATTTCCTAGGATATTGCCCTGAAGTGTCTGCAGCCCTGCACACCCCGCACATCTGGGTATTCTTCCTGATACTTCTGTGCTGTTCCCATTGGGACAGGAAACCCTACTGTGCCCTGAAACTAACCCCCCTGCAGGAGCCACTGGCCCCCAGTCTAGGAGCTGTAGCGGAGTGCTAGGGGATTCAGCGCTGCTCCCATTGTGGGTCAGGCCATCACAGTGCACCACGAGACCTGGCCGTGCTGCAGATGGTTCATGTCCCAGCATTGCACCTCTCCCCTCTACTCCACTCCAAAGGCAGTTTTAAATTCCAACAAAGATGTTCAGCATATTTCATTTCTCCAAAAGTGCTCTGACTACTCTGCCTGCCTGCATTCCCTCTCTCGCCTCCCTCCTCTTCTTCCCTTGGGCAACCAAAACATTAGGGTTTTGGAAACAGCATTTCCTGTTTCCAGTGTCCTCTTCTTTGCCTGTTTTCACCTGACAACTGGAGCAAAGCAATGGCTAAAGGGCACAACTTTGGCTTCAGGCTCACCTCAGGGCAGGAAACAAGATCTAACCGATCAGCATCTGCAGCATGGGGGTGAGCAGGCTGTCTGCTCTTACAGCTGCAATGCCTCCTATATTTATATGAGCTGGTACTGGCAGCATCCTGTGGGGCCCCTGCAGCATATCCTGCAGGAAGAGTTGGGGGTAGTGGGGAGGCTGGGTTCCTATAGCTCCTTTTGCCTGCAGAAGATTTTCCTCCGAGGCCCATGTGAGCTACAGGACCCTGGGCACTGTTGCCATGAAGTTGGCCAACAGCACCCTCTATTATTGCACATTACAGGGACCACAGTGAGAGACTCCTGGCTGCCCTGACAGCACCAGCTTCCTCTCCTCCTTTCCTTGTCCCTTTCACAATCATGGGTGTAGCCCAGTCTTGAAGGAACAACTGGGCTGTGCCTGGGGCATGGGGTATGGGCAAAGGTGTACCATGCTGGGAGTTGTGGCTGGAGGAAATGGGAACAGAACTGAGATGAGGAGAGGCAAAGCAGAACAGGCCTGGCTTGGGGGTTGCAGTGAGCACAGGGTTATTGACCATCCTAGCTAAAAGGGATGGGGAGATCCAGTCCTCCATGAAATTAGAGCACCCCTGCACAACCCCGTGGGGCTGTGCTGACCTGTTACAGCACAACTGTCCTGCCAGTCCAGCCCTCAGGCTTTCCTGTTAAATGCAGTGAGAAGAGCAGCCACACAGGTGTGGGGTCAGGGGCCTCTATCCAACCTGCAACCCACACAGTGTGGGAATGCGAAGGACAGGGGAAAACCCTCAAGACACCTACATTCAGTCCTTGAATATTGGAGGCTGCCACTCAAAGCTGACTCAGCCCTGTGGTTGATAGCCCATTCCTGAGCTCCTGGCTGGCAGAGCACTGTGAGTGCCTGAGAATTTCATGCACCTCCCCTTGTCATGGATTCAATTTCAGCTTTCGTGAACCAACTGCAGACCTCTCTTATGCACAGCTGGATATGCACACCTGGAGAGGAGGCATGAGGTGACACAGGGAGAGTTCCTTTCTACACAGTCTTCCACACAGCATCCTTACAACCTGGGGACAGGGAATGAAGCCAGGGTAAAGTGGGAGTGTGGGATATGGGCAGCTACTTGAGATATGTTGCTGTGAGCTGACAGCCAATCCTGGGGGCTGTCCTGAGTGGAAAGAGGCCAGCCCAGACAGAAATACCAGTAGAGCTGGGCACCCATCACTCTGCTTCACTCCATCCCTACAGCTCCCACACCCCGCACAGCCGCTCGGGCCTCGCCAGCAGGCCGGTTCACCTC